CCTCAGACAAGCCAGTTGATTGCCGCTTTTTAAGGTTCTTGGCTCTGACTTCCTTTTCCTTTTCTTCGTCCATCACAAACTGAATCGAGACCGTGAGAGCGAGTTTGGTGTACGTGATGTCGTACTCCTCATCATCGTCTTCGTCCTGTCCAAATTCAACCAGATCATCCTCAACCAGCAATTGAGGGTCACTCACCTGATCTTCGTCACTCAGTCGCTTGCCATTGACAAAAGTGCCATTGGCAGATCCAAGATCTTGGAGCCAGACCTAGTTTCAACATAAACACTTGACCACCGACAAACGTCAGTTGTGCATGACGTCTTGAGAGCACAGAGGCATTGAAAAACGCATTGTCCGACTTGGACTTGGTTTCCTGATCGACAGCCCTGCCAATAAGCACTGGCTTGTCCTTGATGAACAAGGTCTTGATAGGAAAACTGTCGTCAATCGGTTGCAGATTCACAATGCTGGCAATGGGCTCTGTATACTCTTCCACCAAGTCTTGCATCATGTTGGCGTAGTCTGGGGAGTTGATTTTCTCTTCAGAACTGGCCCACACCTATCGTCAGAGTGTCTGCCATGTCATGTATATTAGACAGCAGTGAGTCTAAGAGTGTGGGTTTGCGCTCCATGTTCAAAGTTGAACGCCACATCTCAAGTTTTACACAAACCAAGCAACAGCAACTTTACCACCAACCCGGGCATGACTTTTGGATGTGTAACAATTGCACAAGGCGCTAAATACAAAATAGTCGTATAAGCGGGTTGTCCTCACACACACGCGTGCAGTTGCCACTTCTGCTGCCTCTGCAAACACTGCTGAACCCCAATTTGATGATAATTCCAAAACTCAGACTGCATGGCTCTGTGGAAGATCTGGTGGATAAAACGACAGATCTCGCTCTTTCCTTTACTCGCATCTACTTGTGTATGAAAGAAGATCAAGCGTGTTGAACATCAAGCAGGCAGTCATGGGGTGATGGCCCTTACTAGCCACTTCAGGCGGGTACAAAACACGCCGTTTACTGATTAAAGTAATTCCTCTGACAGTGTCTACTTGACACTTCCACCACCAGATAAGGGACGCTGCGTGTTCCCAAGAGGAAACACTCGATAGACCAATCGATATCGAGATTAGAGCCAGCTAGTGACCAACGCCGCTTTCCAGCCACTCGGAGGCAATGCTGGCAGAGTTGGTTTTTACTTTAGGCGCACACTATAATGGGGTTCACGATGATGAAACAACGCTCTCCCGAAAAGGAAGGCGGACATTTGTAGTGAAAAGCGTTATAAAGTCGCTTTTTTCGCACTTTTTCCTTTTCGATGTCGCAATATGTTCTGCCACCAGCATTTCCGTCAATTGATCAGCTGCAATTCATCACACCAGCACTGATTCAGGCACCATTTGTGCAGGATGCATGGAAAACAGTCCAACAACTGGTTGATCCACAGGTTTTGGCCATTGCACCATCAACGTATGTTCCCTTGAGACCTGCCAACCCAGTATACAATGCAGACCCAGTAGCCAACTGCTATTGGCCAGCTGGCACCACTCGCTGTGTCCAGCCATCAAACCCAAAAATTCAACCTGACATTTATGTCTGTTCGGGACAGAATCAGTGGGGTCTCACTTACGACGATGGTCCATACAGCAACATTGTCAACGGACAGCATGTGGATGATTCGACTGCTGTCCAGCAAGCTTTGGACCAACAAAATATCAAAGCTACATTCTTTGTCGTTGGATCCAATGTCATTCAGCATCCAGAAGTCGTGAAGCAGCACTATGACTCTGGGCACCAAATCGCTTTGCACACTTGGACACATCATCCAATGACTTCATTGACGAACGAGCAGATTGTGGCAGAGATCAAGTACAACGAAGCCATTGTCTACCAGATCATTGGCAAGATCCCGAGATTCTTCCGACCACCTTATGGCATTTTCACTAACAATAGGTGATATTGACGACAGAGTGAGAGCAATTGCACAGGCATTGGGCTATCAAGCTGTCTTGTGGACGTCTGTGCCTCCAAGAGACTCTGGAGACACTGCGCAGCCAGATCAGTCCATTCAATCTGTCAACAATGTGGTTGGCAACGTCACTGCTTGGTTCAGCCAAAGTGGTCCTGGCTTCATCTCTCTCCAACATGACATCAACAACTTTACTGTATTTTCATTGATCCTAGTCTCGCATTGATCTCTTAACACTTGCTAACTTTGCCACTTCCCAATCTCCACTCAAACCGATGCCAATTGGTACTTGCATCAACCAACCCTTCTATCGTGAGGCAGGATCCAATCCACAAACCACTTTGGCTTCTGTTCCCACTGGCGTTCCATCTAACGGCGCATATCAGGTATTTACTTGGTTGTGTCTCTTTATTGCTCTCTTTAACTAAAATCCTGTCGCCTGAAAGTTTGTCAGAAGGCACTGAACGTGAATGAGCAGTGGGAAACAACGATAATCTCTCTTGCTGATCCTCACGAGAGAGAGATCTTGGATCTAGTTCACCAGAGAGATAGAAAGCAAGGCAGCATCTACCGAGTGGTTAAGATTGTAGAGAATTTCAAAATCGGTTGATCGACTGAGAGAAAGGTCAACAGCAACCAACAACATCTGGAAGCTTCACCGAATGCGCTCAAGATCTTTCCACCGGCTGCGGTCAGGGCTTCATGTGGCGTGTTCAAAACTCCGACTTTCCTCCACTTGATGCACTTTGTTCTGGCACAGAGTTATCCTCTCCCAGCACAATTCCCTGGTGTTTCTCAGCTAGCGAATATCGACCCTGTGTTTATCAATGTGCCTTTTATCCAAGATGCAGTCAAAACAGTGAATGCACAAGTAGATGCTTCCATCTTGAGCATTCCACCCTCTGTATACAACCCACTGACTCCAAACCAACCAAGATACGTGGTACAGACTCTAAATGCAGGCTGATCCAGTGCAACACTGCTACTTTGCCGGAACGACTCCCAAATGCGGTGTCAGCAAGAAACCAAGCATTAAGCCAGATATTGTTACTTGTCCGACTCAAAACCATTGGGGTTTGTCCTACGGTCTCCTCATTAACCAAAGACGACGGTCCGAACGCGAACATTGTGAATGGCCAGAACGTTGACGATTCTGTGACTGTGCAACGCACATTGGACCAACACAACATCAAAGCCACACTATTTGTTGTCGGTATCAACGTCTTGTGGTATCCAGACCTTGTCAAGAGAGCTTTTGATGCTGGCCATGAGATTGCTTTGCATACTTGGACACACCATCCACTGACATCTCTTTCCAATGAGCAGATTGTGGCAGAAATCAAGTACAACGAAGCGATTATTTACAAAACCATTGGTGTCATTCCAAGGCTCTTCAGACCACCTTATGGCCAACATCTTGACACTAGGTGACATTGATGACAGGGTGAGAGCTATTGTGCAGGCGTTGGGATACCAGATGGTCACTTGGACCTTGAACCCAGTCAGAGACTCTATGGATTCTGACCAGCCAGACTTCTCCAACACATCTTTCACAACTGTCATGAACAACATTGCTGGATGGTATCAACAGGGAGCACAGCCAGGCTTCATCTCGCTGCAACACAATCTGAACAATTTCTCATCTAGGATTGCATCGCAAGCAATCGACGCCTTTGTTCAATCCAAGTCTCCTCTGCAACCCATGGCCATCAGTACGTGTCTCAACCAGACATTTTACCGAGACTGGAAGACACCCACTTCCACGACAAAAGCAAACGCTCCCACTCCAACTGCGACTGTGCAATCTAGTAGTGCCATCAAGTCAGTACCTTTCTATTTGTTGTTGTTAAAATCTTTTTGACGCGTTTCCATGTCAGACTGCGCTTATTTGGCCCAGCTCTTGCCGAGCTTACAGTCCCAGTTCACTATCCGAACCAACAACTGCTGCAACACGCAAGGAGTTGTGTGCCGTGCTGGGAGAATCACTCGACTCTATCTGAACGATACGAACGCCATGGGTACCATTCCATCCCAATTGAGCCTATTAACAGCATTAGAATGGCTTCATCTTGAACGCAACCAACTCTCTGGTCCCATTCCATCCTCCATTGGAACCTTAACGCAACTCACGAGTTTGCATCTCAACAACAACCAACTCTCTGGAAGCATTCCGGCTGAATTGGGAAACATTACGACTTTGCAAACACTCTATCTGTTCAACAACCAACTTTCGGGTCCCATTCCACCAGAACTGGGCAAACTCACTCGCTTGTCTGCAATGTAGTGGTATTGATGGTAGTCTATTGCACAACAATCCTAATCTCGTGGGTCCCACACCGCCAGAGTGGCAATCCTTGCAGATGACGTCAGCACAGTGTCAAGGCGTGGTTCCGGTCAACAACTCGTTCTATTGCTGTAATCTCGGATCCCTGTGTGTCTCTAGTCCTAATCAAAGACCTCTGAACTGTGGACAGGCACCACTCTGTCCCACAGCCACTTCTATCTTGCCCACTCAAACTGGAATAGACTTGTCCACCTCTCTCCTACCAACTCAGACTGTAATAGAATTGACGACCACTGAGCCAATCTTGCCGACCGGCCCACCCACTACACCAAGTCCTGCACTTTCATCCAACACGATCACATACTCTCTCATTGGCATCACGGGTGGCATCGTCTTTGCACTCTCCATTGCATGGCTTCTCTTCTGCCTCACCAAAAAGCGACCCGCAAAGCTTCTAGACCAACAGGCAAGTGTCACCACGATCCAAGAGAGAAACTCGTACAGTGTTTCAGTGGCACCCAATTTCGCTGGATTTCAACAGCCTTATGCATTTGTACAGCCAGAGATGCAGAATGGATACTACTTGAGAGATCCTGCTGTGTTGAGGCAGCAAACAATTTATCTGACACCTATGCCGCAACAACCAGATATTCAGTGGGACTATGTGCCAGAGAGAGGGTACAGCGTCAGAGATTTCGTTGCAGACGATGGTGAAATGGTCCATGAAGAAAAGTAAAAAAGCTCTCCGAGCAGGGCTCGAACCTGCGGCCTCGAGATTAACAGTCTCACGCGCTACCAACTACGCTATCGGAGAAGCCGGTCAGCGACGCTCATTCTGATACAGGTTCCTAAACAAAATATGTCACTAATTCTGAATGTGCGTGTCCGATCGTGATTGTTCAAAGATGATGTATGATCCAGATGAAAAATTCTTTCCCAAATGCGCCTGTTTTCTACAACACGCCAACTTTCACGCTACAATCGCATAGTCCTGGTCGGAAACATTGGAGCAGATCCCACATACAAAGAGATCTCATCGGCAAACGATAATGTGTACAAGAAATGGCGCTTCTCCCTTGCAACGAATCGATCCAAGAAGATTGGTGGTCAGTGGGAGCGATTGACAGATTGGCACAATGTGGAAACCTTTCGAACTGTGGAGCACCTGGGTGTTGGGTTTGGTGGTTTATTGTAGATCGACTGTTGTTGTTGAAGGCGTGTTGACGTACAATGAGTATGAAAAGGATAATGTCAAGCACCGTGTAGCAATCATTGAAGCAGATCGAGTGGTTCCAGTGTCTGGAAGAAAGGATCAGGAGCCAGAAGAATGAACCTTTTTCAACTCGATCCAGTGATAGATGGGCCATTTGGTCTGAATCGGATAGGGAGTGTGATGTACAGCCAAGATCCATCCATCCTTGAACAGATTGCGATAGTGTTCTTCGAGATTTGCAAGTGTTTGTGTCCACAATGCCAATTTTGGATCGAGAGGCGCTTGTTTGAGTGGATCTAGTTTCGGTGCTGGTATTACTATTCGTCTGATCAGGTTCCAAGACTGTCCAAGTCTATTGTTCCAATATGCGAGATCTGATGGTGTCCATACAAGATGACAGGGATTCTCTTGCGCATCTGTGCCAAAACTAGCAATACCATGCTCAAAAATCAGTCTGCCTCCATGTTTGAGTATTCTCCACCATTCTCTGTGACTTGTGTTGGGTTTGAGGTACCTCCATGTGCTTGAATCCACTGTAATCGAATCAAATGCATCATCTGGCAACAATTTCAACGATGAACTGTTGAAATCCATCCACAAATGGGGTTCATGGTCAAAAGCACCTCCAAAGGCATCCACACACACATAGCCATCTGTTTTGGTACCTCTACCAATGATCAAGTGGCCACCGGTGGGAATATCCTGTTCTCTGAACTTGTACAGCTCGTGTCCGAATCTGCCAATTTCCATGAGGAAAAGTCAAACATTGTTTATAAAAGTATCAAGAAGATCTGATCCTGTAACGCACTCGCATAGGATTTTGTGGTACCATGATACCAAGTCCTTGCCGGGTGGGTTCCATTTTTGGCACTGGATCTATGACTTGGAAATCAAACTTGGTCAACAATCTGGTGACGAGAGAGAACACTTCTACTTTGGCAAAGTGTCTACCTGGACACATGGTGGTACCTTTGCCAAACGGCAAGAATGGCACAGACACAACCTGTCCGTTCTTGGTCAATGCTTTCGTGTCCAAGAAGCGATCTGGTACAAACTGGTCAGGATTTGGATACAATTCAGGATCTCTGTGTGCTGCTTCAGCCACGGCCATGACTTGATCACCCTTTCTGAGACGGTACGTCTTGTTCTGTGAAGCAACCACCAAGTCGTAATCATCTCTGCAGATTCTGACACCATACGTAGAGGATGACAATCTAAGAGACTCGTGGAAGCATGCCTCCAAGAACAGTGTCTGTTCTTGTCCAAACTCTGATCTCACACGCTCAACGACATCTGGACGACTGATAATGTTGGCCAAGGTCCAAAATGCAGCCATAAGTGTGTTTGATTGAGATCCAAACATGGTTGCCATGTGGAACGTGGCACCAAGAACCACTTCAATCTGCTCTTGATCATAGTACTTGAAGCGTTCCTGCATGAGAGTGGAGCAATCCTTGGCTCTGAATCTCTTGACGACTCTGTCCACACATCTCTTGAGAGCAGCTCTTCCCTCCTTGGCTGGCAAGATTCCGGACATCATGTCCAAGACTTCTCGATCAAAAGCAACATAGTCGTTCAAGAATGATTCATAATCCTCTTTCAACAAGTCTGTTCCAAAGATCGTGTCAACGGAAGCCTTGAAGAACATGCGTCGGCTGAAATCAACAAGATCGCATTCCTTCCACTCTGTTGCACCCACTTTGGCAATTTCAATGTCCATATAGTGGTCAAAAGATGATCTCAGATCCACCAATGATGGGCCAGAGAGATACTTTTGGTAGTGCTTCGTGAACGTTGGATTGGAGTGTTCTGTGAGATGCGTCTCGACCCTAAAGACGTTCTTCATGAACTCTGCAATCACTTCATGGAAACCAAGAGTGTTGCGTTCCTTGAAGTACTCTGAGAACGTGATTGGATCCATGACGTAGTGGAATCGCTTGCCAGCCATGTAGAAGGTAAAGATGTCGCCGTACTGTTGCTGTGACTTCTTCAAGAGTGCCCAGCCTCCCTTTTGGTACTCGATTCCCATTCCAATCAGCGGTAAACCAGAGATAAGCGGCGGTTCGTTCTTTCGACGCAAGTACTGTGCAGAGATCCATCTCCAGAGCAGATGCGATCCAACTAGGACAAACAGAGTTGACACAACTTCAACGATAGTCAACATTTCTGCAAGTTGAAAAAATCGGAAAACGACAAGACCCTGTTTCAGAGAGATCTGTTTACTGCTTGTTTCTGTATCTGAAGCGCATAATAGTCTCTGGTACCATGATTCCCAATCCAAATCTCAACGGATCTGGTCTTGGCACTGGATCCAAGACTTGGAACTCGTACTTTTCAACCAACTTCGTGACGAGAGACAAGACTTCTGTTCTGGCAAAGAATCTGCCTGGGCACATGGTCACCCCCTTTCCAAACGGCATAAACGACAACAACACTGGCTGTCCGTTCTTTGTTGCTGGTTTGGTCTCCAAAAAGCGGTTGGGATCAAAGACATCAGGGTTTGTGTACAGTTCAGGATCTCTGTGTGCAGCTTCTCCAACAGCCATGACAACATCTCCCTTTCGGATGTTGAAGTTCTTGTCCAGGGATGCGATTCTCAAGGAAAAGTCGTTCTTGCACAGTCTGATGCCATTGGTAGAGGATGAGAGTCTGAGAGCCTCTTGGAAGCAGGCATCTAGATAAGGTGTGGTTTCCTTGCCTGTTTCTGCTTGTACTCTTTTCAAGACCTCTGGATTGCTGAGAATGTGTGCCAGTGTCCAGAATGATGCCATGAGCGTGTTAGACTGTGATCCAAACAATAGACCAAACTGGAAGGCAGCAATGAGATGAGAGTTGAACTTGACTTCATCAAAGCCCTTTTTGCGCTCACTGACGATCGTAGAGGCTTGAGAGTCCAAGAACTGCTCCATCTTGTTGATACATCTGTGCATGGCTGCTTTAGACTCTTTAGCTGGCATGACACCAGACGCAAGTTGCAGCAAATCACGATCAAAGATGAAGTAGTCCTTCAAAAACTCTTCAAATCCATCCTTCAAGAGATCTGTGCCAAAGATGGTGTCTACAGAAGTCTTGAAGAACAATCTGCGAGTGAATTCCACAAGATTGTCTTCCTTCCACTCTGCTTGATCCATCTTGGCGAGTTCAATATCCAATCTGTCATCGAATGCCTTCTTGAGATCTTGCAATGCCTTTCCAGACAAGAGTTTGTGATATTGTCGCTGCAAAACTTGGTCAATGGTGTCCAACTGCTGTGGATGGATTCCAAAGACATTGTGCATGAACGTTGCTACAAACTCATGGAAATCTAATGTCTGACGCTCCTTGAAGTACTCTGAGAACGTGATTGGATCCATGACGTAGTGGAATCGCTTGCCAGCCATGTAGAAGGTAAAGATGTCGCCGTACTGTTGCTGTGACTTCTTCAAGAGTGCCCAGCCTCCCTTTTGGTACTCGATTCCCATTCCAATCAGCGGTAAACCAGAGATAAGCGGCGGTTCGTTCTTTCGACGCAAGTACTGTGCAGAGATCCATCTCCAGAGCAGATGCGATCCAACTAGGACAAACAGAGTGATAAGAACTTGAGCAAGCGGAATCATTCGTGGCAAAGTGCAAATCGGCCGAAAATCAGCGGAAATCCAAGGACACTTGCTGACTGCAAAATGCTCATCTACTATCAATTTCAACGACATTCAAGCGAGATGTGCACTCTTTGATGCCTTGGTACCAACTCGACGCTGTGCCTGAAATCTCATCATTTACGCTTGACATCCAACAGAACATTGTAGTTGGACATGACACCAAGACAGTCGTTCCAGGAAGTGTCGAAATTGACTTCAAATCACCACTCAAGAACGTGAAAGCGTTGGATCTACGCTTTGTTGGTGGAGCAGTGTGTAAACACGACGAAAGTGTACCAAAGCTGACAAGAGGATGCGCAGTTACGAGGAAGTCAGCGGTTGTTTGACCAGAGAGTGTGTCTGATGGAAGTCAGTTCAGGAACAGTCTTGGAAGACAAGGTCAAGTTTGATTTCTGTCTCCAGATACCTTCCAAGATGCCGAGCTCTGTACAGAATGACAAGATCCAGGTCCAATACGTTGTTGTGTGCGCGTTGAGTTTTGAAAACGGCTGTTGTTGGATTCCACTGTTTGCTAGAGAGCCATGCATGATCAAGCAAGTACTGAATGTGTATCAGACACAGCAGACGCTTGAACTGCCAAAAGATGCATTCTGGAACGAAGACGAGTATCCAACCATGTCCTGGTCGCCAGATGAGAAGCTACTCATGACTGCACCTGCCATTGTGTCAAGTGACCAACAAAGAGTGGTTATTGGTGTCGCAGGTGAACTCAAAGAGCTCCAATGGAAGATTGTTGAAGAAACAAAATTGATGTTCAACAGCAACATCATTCCAACCAATGCAGACATGCAGTATCTGAAAGAGAGTCAAAAGACAAGAATATTTGAACAGATCCTCTCTCAAGGAGAATGGTTGCCAGAAACAAGCCAGGAATTGGAACGCGTGATTGAACTGCCAGTTCATCTGGACTACACACCTTCTATTGACACAGCAGTAGCTCAAGTGAGACATTATTTGGTGTTG